TAAGGGGTCCGCCCCGTCTGCTGTTCATCACTCCTACGTGTATAATAAAAAAATAACTCATTTAGCAACTGACGTTTTTATTCAACTCCACTACTTTGATGCAGACCCAGAATATTTTTGCCCGAAGCTCAAACGGACGAGACTGGAGAGATCGCGTTCACTGGTGAGGAGCCCTTCGGTGTGGTATCTTAACAGCAGCACGTGATTTCAGCGATGCCATGAATTCTCTCAGAATGTCACAACTCACCCTGACCACCTCCTGTAGGCCGACATGCATATCCCTGTCACTAAGCTTTCCACTGGACCCTCGGACAATTATGGCGATCTGTGTACTTAAAACTGTTTATCAGATATTTTATCGCATCAGAAAATATAAAGATTCTCTAATTTCCTCCCCCCTCACCGCATTTGTAACACGTATATAAGCTACTTATGTATTTTATTGTTGTTGCTTTTTACTTTCGATTAATAATAACTTGTAGGAGTTTTACCGGGCGAACGTTTGGATTAGGCCATTCGGTTTTTCACAGGCATCAGGCACTTTTGATGTTCTTCGGTGTGGAGCTCACTCCTTGGGAGATCATTCATTCCCCACCAGTTGAATGCATTTACATGCGATGGAAATGTTGGTGCTGACCGACAAAGAGCACTGGACAACTCTTTCTTCCTGTTTGGGACTCGTCAGTAGTGTGTACCTGTTGTGTCCCTGTCAGGACTCGAACCGCTAACCTTCGGGTTGGAACTTCAAACCCTTACCCTCGAGCTACACAAAAGGTACGTAATACTGATGATTCCCAAACGGGACAGAACAGCTGTCCAGTGCTCTTTGTCGATTATCACAAAACTTTCCACTACTTGTAGGAAGTGGTGTGAAAAGCCTGCTTTTCTTTGGGATTTACCATAATAAATCCTCTTGCCGTTGTTGTTTTCGTGCACAATGAATTTGCAGCAGCAACCTATTCGCGTAGTGCAGCTTCGGAAGCATCTTTTCTCTTTGATCCATTTGGATAAGACAAGTAACATAATATTAGCTCAATTGATACTGGTCGTCAAGTTTGCGTGCTCTCAATCAGCTGTCTACGCACAGCAAATAGGTTGAAATGTTATAACAAGAATACCATATTTGGACATTTACATGATTACATGGATTTCGGAGGAAAGAAATGGGTTGTTGAGTCATTACCAAAGTAATTTTGAGATTAGTCAACGAGGAGGAGTGGATGATTATAAAAATTTTGAAAAAGAGACTGCTAGCATAAGAACAGTTGCGTAATAGAAAACGATTAACCGTGGAGGAAATAGGGTTGAAAATGATTACTTAAAACGAGATACATATAACCAGAAGTGAATTAGAACACACGTGGGAAGTTTACGGAGTAGAAAATTGGTCAATGAAATGGGTCAAAAAGAGTCACATAATATGGAAATGAGAAGGATTTAGTATCAGTGATGAGGTAGGGGAATAGCTTATTTGAGAGGAAGGAAGGAATTACCAGGCTAATAACACCTGCAACACAAAGGCCTTTTGCACGCATAAGTAAGCCTTTCAACGGCTAATGAAAACCACTTCGGCAAACCTACGCATCGTTTGGCTTCGAATTTCGAGGATAACGCGGAAAGCTTTGAGTTTGTCAATATGGTGTCCGGTATCCAGCACATGTCATGCCCGAGTGCTTCCCGCAAAATTTCCTCCTCGAAGTGACGAGTTTTTGGAACACCTTAATTCATCCCAAAAAGTGACGTTTCATGATTATTACCTCGACTGATTTCCTTGCACCTTATCAGCTACATACTTCTATAAAAGGAAACGCGCACTTGTAGTGTTTCTAGTGAATGCTTTCGTGCCCCAGNATCGACAAACTTTCCATTTATCAGCTCCGATAAGGATAGTTTTACCTTTATGTTTCAAAAATATATCAAAACCTTTATGATGGAATAGCGAAAACACATACAATACTGAACTTGATCCAGTTGATATCAATTCACCCAATTTTTGTCTTTGTTGATCATCCTGTAAAAGGTAAAAGGATAATAGAAGCCATCTGAGGGGTTAACAGCCATGTACACTTACATTAATGAGATTACTGAATGATAAAGAAACCATTGCTGCTTATCTACTGCAACTGAACGCAATTTACTTCAGCGTTCACACGTATGATAGAGAGCAGTAAGATTGTTACTTTAAGGAATTCAACTATTGCTAGATGCCGCAACACCTGAAGGTTGGTAAAAGTGAAACTTTCATGGTTGAGTATATGCAGGTAATGTGCATCTGCAGATGCATGTAAATATCCGGACTAGTCTTCCCGCGAGGCAGCAGCACGAAATTTCGGACGCACAACAGAGATGCAGTAAAATTTGAATTCCCATTCGAAAAGTAAAAGAGACTTTAAACAATGTACTTGCGTGGAGTTGTACAAAGTTTATTCATTTTCCCAAATAAGCGCAAAATATGTAAATTAGATTTTACCGAAACTATCCAACGATGTTTAATAATTTTATGGCCAAATAATCAAAATGCTCTAAACGCGGCCATTTTTAGTAAAATAACGCTACCCGTTGTTGGCAAGGTGGTGACACAACAGCAGGTCTTTTGAGTCATGGAAAGCCTAAAGTCAACAAAAGCAAATAGAATGCTTCTACCGGAACGTAGTATGGCTGCAAACACACCGACGTTCTTTCTACAATAATTCCTGGTCTTCCTTTTAGTATGCTCTAAGCAAAGCTCCATCGAAAAAGAAGCCTATGAATTTAACAAACTGGACCCTTAGGGTAAATTCCTTCAGCCAAATATTGAAATACAGGATGTTTTTGATTACCTACTCATGGTCAGCAACATTTATATAGATCCTATTAGTTAAGTGGGACATTTCAAATCAGTTGTTAGCAATTCCCACCCCATCTGGGAAAAATACCGGAAGTCTAGAATGGGTTCGCTGAAAGGTGGAGGCGAGAAAAAAGGTAGGAAAGTGAACTGCCATTGAAACAAAGAAATCCGTTTGGTAGGCAAATATTTACTGAACGCACATTTCAAAAACCAATTGAGATCACTCTTGATTGAATACAGCGAATTTTCTACCATTCCACAGGATAATACACAATCGATCTGATAAGAGAACATGATCTATTGAGTGGAATCGGAGCGGTCAGGTTTAATTTAGCTAAGTAGAAGCACACTAATTGGAAAAGTAAAATAAATTCCTAAATTAGAAATGAGCTGCTCTAGTCATCAGATTTCACCTTAAAGAGCAATATCCCCACTTTATGGTGATATGTGATAACTTTAACGGTACTTTAGACATTAATGGCCAAGTTAGCACGTCCATAGCCAATAGCGCGCGAACAGCAAGCTACAGATGACACGTGACACCAGATTTGTAGCACCTATTTTGCCCATGAGCATTTGAGCCAGCTGCGTGTAGCTGATTGCAATCACCTGGTTTATAAAAGCATCCAGTTTTAGACTTTCGCCTTTTCTCGATTTAATTTCCTTATGAACCGATAATTTTAAGCAGCTTTACGATAAACGCTACGCATTAGCACCACCACGCGATTTTCATTATTGTATCTTCTTTTATAAATCATAACTTTTAACTGATTGTGCTAAATTTTTATTTTTTAAACAAAAATTTTCCTACAAAAGGTTTATTTAAGAAAGTGCAATTTTGAGTCTTTTGTTTTAATTTGTGACCTCCAGACCATATCGGCGGGTTTTAAGATGTATCATATTTTGCGTAAATTTTAAGGTAAGACCTGCGCAGAGTATATGCAAGACCGTGGCTTTTTTCCACGCTAAGTAATATGTGCAATTTTCATAAGTAGTATATATTAAAATTGAAACAATTAGTATTATTAAATTGTTATTATTAATAATAAAAAAATAGTATAATAATAGGATACAATTAGAATAATAACATAGATATGAAATGTATAAAAGTATTGCTAAAAAAGAATTAAAACATTAACAGATTAACGGGGGTGAATCTGTTTCACCAGGAAACGGGAAATATCATCTGGAAATGCCTGGTATATAAAACGGAACCATAACGGGTATTGGACCTCATCAAGATCATATGACCGACGGAACCGCCGATGCTCTTTAGTTTTTTCTTTTTACAGCTCCAAAATGTTTCGACATTGTTCGTGTGCACACCGGTGGTGTCGTCAATAAATCCGACGGAATGATTCACACTCGAATGCACATAATCAAGTGAACTCAGGGAGCGATAGGCTGCCCACTGGTCACTATAAATTGTTGTTCCTGGAAGCACTCATTGTTGTATGATAGAAATAAGAGCTCTAGCAGAACGATCTGCAACCCGTTGATGATAACCTCTCTTCAAATCCCGGTCATATATGCAAAACATCCAAATGGTGTAATGCGGTCTTTCACTTCCGATTTGGTTCTTTACCGCTACCGTCTCATTCACCTCGACAGCTGTATTAGGTCCTCTTAGTTGAGTGTTCATAAAACAAATCCCAGAGGAGCATATAGCTCTTCAGTATTTATACCACTGAATGACACTTTTCCGGCTCATGTTAGCCACGAGTTAGCCGCAGGAGTTACAGGTTCCTCCATAAAGAAATAAACGATGATTTCCATCATTGTATCAAGAGGACTTTGCGAAAAATGTTCCTCTTGCACTTTGAGCAACGTAAAACACAGCCATCCTTGCTTCGGTTATACTTTTGCACACGCTTTAGTTGTCCTTTGGTGATAGTCATCGATCCTTCTATCTGGTCCAGAATTTTGTGCATTCTGGAGCAGGCCGTCATGCTGTCAAGGTCACAAATTGAAACAAAAACAACGTAAATCGACCTTTTACTTGGGAGCCTGGATTTAATAATCATGAGTTATTTTGGCAGAAAAAAATTCAACAGATTTTAAAAAGGTGACAAGTGAGCGAAAATGGCCTTGAGTGGCCATACAGGTGGGGGGGNGGGGGGGAGGCATACATCGTACACGTTCACCTTTTTCCGAAGGAACGTACGTGTAACTGTGGTCGCATTAGGCATATTCAGGAATTTTTAGTGACTAGGTGGTTATTGATGTTCGTCAGAACCTGTCACTAATATTCGATCACATTCTTCCTTGATATCCGTCCCAGGAGGAAAACAGAACCAGTGTTTGGGATTATAGAAACTCTGTATTCTGATACTTTCAAAATGTTGAAAGTGAGTTTTGCTAGCCC